AGTACTCCAGGTGGGGTAACTGTCACCAGTCTTTCACCTGCATCACCCAAAAAGTTTATAAAACACAGAAAAATAACCTGGCACCCATCAGCTGAGTGTATGGAAAAAGTCGAACCCATTGCAGGTGCCCCGCCTGTATTGAACCCTGATTCCACCTAAGGGCAGGATGAAAGTAATGTTGACTGAGCTTGGGATTTTCCAGTGTGAGTAAAAGGAGTAAGTAAACACTGAAATGATGGATTTTGTCCAGTAATTGTCCTCAAGGTCTGCAGAAGGAGACCGGATCTGTCACAGCAGAGATGCAATATTAGTGAGCCCCAGACAGAGGGAATGTGGATCGTTGAATCTGTCCCATTACAAACAGGAAGAAGGGATGTAATGGCCTTCTCCCATGACACCAGTGGACACTTCAAAAGCCGGTATCACCTTCCATATCTGGACATGTGGTGAAAGCAGAGCACTGAAATGACACAGCTAAATGACAAACAGACCAGGAAGCAGCAAGCTGGGAAAAGGCTGTTTGGAACACACACAGGCAGGAGGGCTGCTGCACTTGGCAGCTGCTTCATCCAGGCACTTTCAGGAGCAGAGCAGCCCCAAGGGAAAACTGCCCTTCTTCCGTAGTTTGCGAGGGAAAAATGGGATCCATTGCAATTTCCATTCCTCAACCTTGTACTTGTCTTACAGCCTGCAGTGCATTTTCATTAAGTAATGGCCCTAAAAGCAGCAGTGACCAATTTAGGATTAATGGGCCATTTTGAGTAGGCAGCTGTGTTGGTGGCAAATCTAACCTAATTTTTATTTACTTCAGACACAGTCAGGAACAAGTGACAAAATTCCACCAAAATCATTTGGATCAACTCTTGAGACAGATAAAGCCTGCCTCCTCCCAAATCTCTTTCAGTAAACACAAGGCACAGGTGGCATCTACATTCAAGACAGGAGACTCAGGACATGTTTACAGGAGGCCCTGGAGCATGCCCTCAGGGAAGGGCATCCAGGTCTGTCCTCATAACTGAAAACAACATCCATGTGGCAATCAAGGGAGTGCAGAAAGACACGCCATATGCACAAAGGCTGTTCCTGAGCATAAGCAGCTCTACAGTAGTTGAAACTGGCCTAAAAGACCTGGCAGGAGGTGTGCTATGCCTTCTGAGCTTACACCTCTCTGTCCTCTGCCTCACCACACAATACACACTGGCAGCACCACTTCTTCAGGTTCCTCATCCAGCTGTGCAGACAAAGGTGTTACCAACACACACTGCCACCAGTCATGTTGACTGGCAACTTCTTTGGGGATTTTGTATAGCACATCTAAGAAACAGTGTTGGCATTTGGTTGGGCCAAAACATGTTCAGCCACGGGTTTCTCTCATTCCTCTTCTTCAGCAGTTCCTTGCTACAGAGCTTAGAATGACTGCATGAATGGAATGATTGAATGCTCAAGAAGGCTTGAGCTGCAGTAACAGCCTCAGCTTCTGCTGATCTGGGTTCATCTGCCTGCTCTGCACTGCAAAGATCCCTGCACCTGAAAGTGCTTACCTTGGCTGCTTCTGCATGCTCGTTAGTGAAGAGACCCCAGTGAAATGAAGAACTGAAGAGCAGAAGTGCATGTTTTCAACATGTTTTCAAGTACCAGCCACAAAGAGCAACCCCTGAATGGCCAAGGTGTAACAAGAGAACAGCACAAAACACTGAACAGAGGAACCTCCCTTTCACTGATACCTTTGCCCCTATGCTTCTGCCAATTCAGGGACCAAAGGGCAAATGAGATGCTGGGAAAACATGAAACTAATAACAGGCGCCAAAAAGCTGTCACACAGAATCTGTCTAAAGAGCATTTTGTTTCCTTTTCTGGCTGTGACAATAACCAGGTGTAACAAAAGGAACAGAACGAGATACATGTGTATCCTGGACAGTTTGAGCCCTCACTACCATTTACCCTCGCCACTGAGTGGACCAGCAACTTTCTGAGCTGTCAGCCAAACCCAGACTGTAGTGGCTGATCATCATTCTGGAATGTGTTTGCTTTCAATTTCTCTAGCCCACCTTCAAAGATATTTGTTGTCTGTCTTGACAACCACTGTGGGAATGTACCATATGCTCATTATTTCTTTTTGTTTAAGCCTTCAATCCGTTCCTGTCAGTGTTGTTTGGCTTTAGCTGTCTCCTGCACTTTTATGTCAGTCTTCAAAAGGAGGAAAGCAGATAACAGACTGTCCATGTCACACAGCTGCAGTGTGCATTAGGTTGTGATAAGGGTTTTTGTGCCTGCTGTTGCCAGCCTCCAGAGCTTCCACAAAGGACACCAAGGTAGAAATGGGGTTCTGAGGAAAACAGCACAGAATTACAAACAAAATGATCACTTTTCATGGCTAGTCTTTGGAGGGGGTCCATTTGGATCAGGGGCCCCGAAGAGCAGTGTCTACTTCACAAATAATTAACAGCTGCACCTGGGGGCTCAAGCTTCCCTCTGCTCCTCTCAGAACCCACTGGAACAGATCTTTGCTTTACTACTCACAACCAATATTTTCTAAGGAAACAATTCTGCACCACTTATCTTCTTCAAACATGTCTCATCCAACCTGAAGAAGCCGGAGTTAGAGGTCTAGAAGCCCTTCCAGCCAAAGTGAGCAGGGACCCAGGGGCAGTGAAAATGTCAACAGTTGTCAGGACAAGAGACTGTGTGGGGAGAACAGTCAGGATTTGAGAGCAATGTTTCTGCCATCCAAATCTAAGCCTCTTTAAAGTTGCAGGAGAAGACACTATGCATTTGTGTCTGCAAACCTCCCTAACAATCCAAGCTCCCCTCTTTTGCTTGCACACTTGAGAGTATCAGTCTCATGAGAAGGACACCATCATTCCCACAGGGTCAAATACAGTATTTTCCATGTGGAAGCCTGTTTGGAACACTGCCTCCTACATCATGGTGCCCTAATGCAACTAAAAGGTCTTGTTGATGGCAAAAAAAAAAAAAAAAGAGATTATTTTAGCTTTCTAGGGGAATTACTGCATTCATTTTGGATAAGAGCTTCAAAGAAAACATACTGCAAATATGAAGTGAGCTTGCCATCCAGAAGAAATTAGATACAAACCTCAGATCCATGCCAGGTTTTCATCTATGTTTTTCTTCAACAGAAAGCAAAGGACATTTATTTTTTATTCACATGCTTGTCTCGGCAAGTTCAGAGCTTTGTTCTTTAGGAAGCTGGGCTATACCTAACAAATAGAGGGGAGTTGCCATGGGCACTGCTTAGCTCTGGTGTTACTTCCAGACACAAACTATCGTTCTGCCCAGGGAAGGGTTATCCATCTCTAGAAGTCTCACTGCACATAAGCTGAGAACCCTGCCTTATTGCTACGACTGGAAAAATGACTAACAAATTACTATTACTATGGTAATGATATTACAGCTGGTGGTTCTTAAGCAAAGTCTCTGAGTAATAGAAGAACTGGAGGGCTGAGTCCACATTGCTACTTGTTAGCTGTGCATGGAGAAAGAAAATTCCCCTAGGAAAATTCTGATACTTTTCTGATAGCTGTTTCATAGCAGCTCTCGCTTGCCTTTCTTTCTCATAAATACACACAGTGTGAACTGTGAAAACAATATAGATTATGTCAACTAGTTTGTTTTCCTAGACTAGACTGATGCTGTAAGTTCAACATTTTTATTGCTTTAGCAGGAAAGAGAATTTCAAGCAGAAAAAAAAAATCTAATAATCTATTCAGAGGGGCCATAAGCCACCATTATCAAGTAGTACCACTGAGACACCTCTATAATGCATAATCCATAACGGAGTGATGCCAGACTGCCCTTTCCTGAATGAAATGAGAATGAACCATAAACACTCATATGAATCTTTTGGGGGATATCTCATTACTGCAGGACATAATGGCCCATATTGCATGCAATTTTCTGGTTTTAAATGATAAACTGTCAGTTTCAGGCTAATACTAATAAGAAACCATTGCTTTGCCAGAAGGATTGCTCCTTGTAGCTTATCCTGTGTGCCCTGCAGTATATGTTTTCTATAACATTTCTGTTGAAGCTGAAAACCAGTATGTGATTACATGCTGTATTGTTATAATTTGAGCCCCTGGGTACTGTGTTAGTGATGAGCTTGCCTTTAAGCTGTTTTTTTATATTTCTTTCAAAAATATTATCTTCCTCCAATTTCCACAGAGAACCTTAATAATTAAGAGTACAGTCTCTACCAAATGCTGTTGATTCAAGCAGTCAGAATTTAGTCACAACAAAGGTGTTAAAGAGGGAGCATGATCTGAGTACAGTAAGATACAGTTTTTAAATTTTTTTTTCTCTCACACTAAATTTGCCTGTGGTCTTGGACAAGTCTTTGGACTGCCTTTTTTCTACAGTATGCTAAGACATGTTTATAGAATCATCATTCATGTTGAAAGAGACATTTAGGATCATCCAGTCCACGTGTCCATCCAGCACTGCCATTATAACACCTAACCCACACCACCCAGAGCCAGAGGCCTCATAAACACCCCAGGGATGGTGACCCCACCATCTCCCTGGGCAGCCTGTTTCAATGCCTGACCACACTAACACTGATTTTTTTATTTTTTTTCTAATATGTGACCTGAATCTCCCCTGTCTCATTTTAGGGCCATTCTCTCTCGCCCTCTCACTGCAGGCCCGGTAGAAGAGACCGACCCCAGCTGGCCACAGGCTCCTTCCAGGGGCTTGTAGAGAGCAATGAGCTGCCCCCCGAGCCTCTTCCTGGAGGTTTAGCCCCTTGAGGGAAGAAACCTTACCTTGATTTTTTCCTCATTTTAACCTTCAGCTACCAAACTGTACTGAAACAATCCGCAGCCTTCTTTCTGGGCTGCCACTAACCCGTCCGACCTGCGCTTGCCGATGGCGCAGCCCTTTCCCACCCGGCCGACCCGGAGTTCCGCGACCCGCGCCGGCAGGGGCGGGCGGAGGGCGGCGCTGAGGGCCGTGCCCGCCCCCCGGCCCGGGCGGTGCGGAAGCGCAGGCGGCCGGGGCTGCGTCCCCGCCGGACCCCGGGGGGCGGAGCGAGAGCCCGGGCTCGGCGGCATCCTCCGGCGCGGCCATCGCCGGGCTGCTCCATGGAGAAGCGGGGCCCGGTGCTGCACATCGTGGTGGTGGGCTTCCACCACAAGAAGGGCTGCCAGGTGAGGGGTGCGGGTGTCCCTCGCCTCTCCCCTCCGCTCTTGCTTCCTCCCGGCCCTCCCCCGGTCCCCTCCCCCGCGCCCAGCGGCGCCTGCCCGGTGGCGGGAGCCGCCGCCGGAGGGGCGCGTCCCGCGGGGCCGGGGGCTTCGCTCCGCTCGGGGGGCGGGGAAGGACGGGCTGGAGCCGGCGAGGCCCCGCCTGGCCGCGGCCTCCCCGGCCGGGGGATGCCTGGCCGGGCCGTGACTCGGCTCGCCGCGGGCACTTCGTGGCCGTGGAGCTGCCTCCATTCCCGCCCCGGGAGCGAGGCGGAGCGAGGGCCGGCGGGGTGAGCTCCGGAGTGAGGGGCCACGGCGCGCCCCGTGGCACCGCGCCTGTTTCGAGTCGTGCGTGCTTGGTGCGTTCAGGCAGAGAATCCTCAGGAAAAAACTCCAAATGGTGTTTTAGTATATCTTCCTCTATCCCTGCCGGCCCATCATTGAGTGCTCAGGTATATCTTGTACCAAACAGCCCCAGGGTAATAAGCGTATCCTGGATTTAAGTTTTCTTTGCCTGTCTCTTTCCCGCTTTCATAAACGCTTGACTGCTTCATGTGGCCTGTAAGGCAGAAGGATTTTATGTCATGTGTTTCATAGCCGGTTTATGTTGTGATTGTTTTAATTTATTTTTAACCCTTGAAGCAGGAGATGTGGTTGCCCAGCTGGGCTGCACACACAGTTGCTTTGCTGTGACAAGAGCAGATAGACATAATGTTGCATTTCCAGTGAGTCTTCTTCCACATTGAGTTCCTGGCATTTATAAAAATTGCCAAGCCATAATGAATGTGATGGCTATTGTTATACAAGGGTTGATCTGGCATAAACGCATTCCATACAAGGTAGCTGAGAATTAAATTATTGCTTCAGCAAAATATCCAAGCACAATTCCTCAGAGGCTAAGGTGCAATTTCTGAAAGATGTGCATGGTTTTCAGATGCATCCTTTCTCCTCAGGGTGTCTGGGTGCTGTTCACATATGGATGTTCACAGGATCAGTTCCTGTGAAGTAATTAGGTCATCTGAGTTGTGAGGTTTGTGATACTTATCAGGCACTTTCTTGTCAAACACTGTTACAAGGTGAGCCTTAGTTGGATATCTGTAGGAGGAAGAGCATATTTTTGCCCTCTTCTTATTGTTTGCCTCTTGGAAAAGACCTAGGCTTTTGTTTCTTCTGTTCTTCTGGAATGTATATTAATTTTCTTGCACATTAAGTAGTATTGATGCAAGGAAAAAAAAAAGAAAGAACAAAAAACCCAAACAAACCCCCAAACTATAAATTGGTAGCATGTAATTTTATTTTGTTGCCAGTAAAATGTTTACCAAAGTACATTTTGAGGTGGTGTCAAAAATTAGGTCGGAATACCTCTGAACTGAAGTTTTCGTTATCTCAAGAAATGACCTGGAGAAGCTGGAGAGGAAGGCAGTTTGGGAAGGGGACAGGGTAGCTGAGTCACAGAGAGGAGAACTGCAGGAATAAAGTGACAGTCAGTAGAATCACAACCAGGCTTCCTAAGGGCAAGCTAAACAGAAATCTAATTTTAAATGTATCCTACTTCTGACATGGCAGATTTTTTACTGAACTATGGAGAACGTTCCCTAAAAGAGCTGGAGGCGAGGAGTGGCACAGCTATAGCCTAATGAGTTTGACATTAGTAGTATGCAAGACTAGAGAATTTGTGAAGGAAAGAATTAATTAACAACATGAAACTAAGTAGACTGGGTCCTATGTGCATTTGCTAAAGATAGATCATGGCTGACTGACCTGCATCTTTTGTAAGAATAAGTGATTGAATTCCTTTCTCTGTGAAAGAAATGGAGTAACTCTAATCTGCTGGGAACTTGATAACAGATCACACTTATTCTTAAGGCAGAGATACAGGAGAATTAGTGCAAGAGCTGGTACTTGGGTAAAGAGTAGTATGAAGGAGAGGAAGCGTAAACAGATTTGAGTCAGAAGAGGAACTATTGGTTTGAAAGGTACTTGCAAGAAATGTTTCTCAAGATTGAAAGTGGTGCTGGTATTTTTTACACCATGAAATTGAGCTATGGTGAGCAAACTCGAGGAATCAGTATTTCAAAGGAAAACTGGAAAGTTGTGCAAGAGCTGGACAATAAGGAATGCTGGATTGATTAAAAATGGGGTGCCTTATGAAGTTGTGCAATGGGAATAAATAATAACAGTATAAGCTTGGGAATTGACACGAGGAAATGTCTGGAAGAGAAATGAGATCCCATGTGATCAAGGCTAAGTCACCAAAGTAGTGTCATTTGAGGGCAAAGAATGACAATGTATGTAATCCTATTGTGTGATAATATGTGTATCGATGCATATAAATTCTGATTCACTTTTCAGAGAAAGGGATTTGAATTTTCTCTTCCAGAACTGGATGAGATAGTCCCTGGGCAGCCTCTATTAAAGGAGAATGTAGAAGAGCTTCCCTAGGTAGGCTAACAAAGTAGATTTGGAGGCTATGTTCACCTCTGTAGGTACAGGAATGTTCTTCCCTTTTCCTCTCCTGCCTCTTCACATCTGGCAAGCAGAGGCAGTTGTGGTAAGCTGAAACAGGGAACTGAGGTGACCAAAAAAGCAAGTCTTGTTTTGGTGGGTTGCTTTTGAGGTAGTTGTTTCACAGGTTCTATTTGCCAGGTGGACAGCTGCAGAGGACAGACACATGGGCACAAGAAGACCTGTGAGGGTGAATCACATCTTTTGACCTGCTGGCCACATTCCTTATGATGCAGCCCAGGATGTGGTTGGCTTTCTGGGCTGCAACGTGCAATGTGCACATTCCTGGCTCATGTTGAGTTTTTTGTCACCCCCAAATCCTTCTCCACACGGCTGCTCTCAATGACCTCTATGGTATTGATAATGGCCTTTGAAGTTTTCATTGAAACACTGCATTACATGTAGTTGCATTCCAAGAAACTGTTGGAAAGTTAAAAATTAGGAGGAAAAACCAGATCTTTAATTTAAATGAGCGTTGGCACAAGAACCAGTGGATATGAACTGTCTGAGCATGTGCTGCAGACTGTGTATCTGAAACTGTGAAGTGCAGAAAAGCAAAGGTCCACAGCAGTGCTCGAATGGGCATCACTCGGAGTGAATTTGGAAAGCTTAAGACTGAAAGATCATAGAGCTAGGCTGCCTGACAGGAATCCACCTGGTTTGCCTGAGAAGGCTCAGTTTCTGTTCATACCTCTTTTCTCTTGTAGTCCTACTAGGAAATGCATGTGGAGTTAGGATTTTCTATGGATTTCTTGATGCTAGGTTCTTTCATTAGCTGTCTTTGCTTCTGAAGCTTCATCACTTGAGATATGTACAGCTCTTCGTGTTGGTTAAGTTACAGGATAAGAAATGTGTAACATGCAAAGGCTTTGCTGTGCAGTTTGGAAATGTATGGGATTATCTTTTTCTTTCACAGACTTGAAAAACAATTTATATGCATTAGTTTCTGAAAGAGAAGGACAGCCAGATAATCTCTGTCTGCCTTTGGACTGGAGTATGAGTGCCACAATTGTTCCTCATGCTCCTTTCAATGGATGAATGTTTAACTGGGTCATTTTTGATGGAATGTAAGAGACAAAGTGAAGTTTTTCCGTATGTACATTGTTAAGTTTGGGGATCCAGTTACCCAGGCAGTTATTAAAAGCTTGGCAGTTGCCACTCACTGTTGGGAAGGCTTTTTGTTATCTGAAAACTAAAGCACTAAAAATTGTGAACACATTGAGAAGAGTTTTCTTTAGCAAGTATGGAGTAAACTTTTGGAGAACCAACTGTACCAAAAGTAAACTTTTGCAGGCTTTTGTTTGTCTACATGAGCAGATTGCCACGCTGTTTCTTTGGACCCCTTAGTTACTGAGTTGAACTGTGAATCCAAGGAGATGTGCAAAAAGGGCTTGTTGCTGTCTCTTTTTGTTAGGGATTAGAGGTAGTTATGGCAGTGTCCAGAGAATGGGAGGAGAAATTTGTCTGCAAACTACTAGGTCCACCTAGTGTGTGACACACTTTCAACAGGCCCATTAAGGAAGGGAATGGCAGTTGGCAGGAAGCAGGAATGGTGACAGGTTTCTTGGCTTTATATGTGCTGGCTGACTTATTATGAGAACCTCCCACAGTGAGTCATTAAATAGTAAATGTCCCACAGTGGGCAGAACTCATGGGCAGTATGCATTCAGTCATGGTTTTCATGCATCTGAAATGAAATGGCAAACATTAAAAATTCCTTTTTTGATTCCTCTTTGCTATTGATAAGAGGAATGGCCTCAGGAAAGAGTAACAGGAAAAAACGGTGCTCCATTGTATGTAATTGCTCAAACTTTTGCCCATAAATGTAAAACAAACAGTTTTGGTGTGGTAGGAGTTCTCCACACTTCTCAGGCTCTGCGGGACTCAAGGCACAAAGGCATTGGGGCGCAAAGTGACAGTAAGGGAAGTCTGCCCCAGAAATGGTCTGATGTGTTTTGGGATGTCTGTAGCTGCTCAGCTCATTACCTACTGCAGCAGGGTCTGTTGATCTGTGTCAGTGTAGGGTGGTAAGACTAGGACTTCAGGATTATTTGTACCTTTCTTCTGGAGCGGCTGAAAACAAATTCCTCAGTAGTTTTGAGGAACTGTAGTAGTGAGGGACTAGTGATTTCAGAGCAAAAAAGGGGAAAAGATTTTTTTTGGAGTCATGAAACACTTTAATTACAAGCGAGTGATAAAGCACCTAATTTGCCTTATAACACTTTGATTTTTGAAAGCATTAACTAGCGTGGAAGGTCCTTACCCATCTTATAATGAAAGTCTTTAGCAAAAATGCAACCTGAACAGACCTTAACTAGAAGATGCAAGCTGTGTTGAAAATACATGGAAAGACCTTTGATTTATAGTCATGGTAGAAGACTGCAAGTCCTGAGGTGCACTTCTTCAGTTGTGATCACGTGTGCTGTGACTGTCACTTGAGCTCTGCCTCTAAGCTTTATTTA